CCTGTAAATACTTCAAAAGACTTGAAAAACACTAAAAAAAACTCTAAAAATAAGACCTATATCATGGTCAGAAAACCATAAAAACCATGATATATCAACTCTCCTAGACTTAGCATTTACTTGCCCTCAAGCAAACAGAAAACCAAGTGAGAGAAAGAGGTTTGAAAAACACAGAGACTCAACTTTTCTATGGAACATCGCGCTGATCGATCACCTTATAATCCACATGCTACTGTATCAATCCAAATCGACCCACCATGTACTTCTCCCAGACATTCACAGCCTCCCAGATTAAATCCAAAATTCCACAACATTGTCCATAAGCCTTCAGCGCTGGGTCCCATCAATGATTCCAGTGCCGAGAACCTTCTAGACTCTTTCCCGTACTATACTTTGACAAATCAACCTTACAAACTCTGGTACTTTTTCTCTCCCCAGACTTGTTTTTTTTTCTCATTCCCTCCTCTTTATGGCATATATAACAAGGTTAAAGATGCGAGTATTAATGGTGTTTGCCATCAAATCCCCTGCAACGGCGCCAAAACTTGATCTGCTCAAAGTTTAATCCCTAGAGCTACTCTGCAAAAGCACAAATATGAAATTGTAGTATGTAGGGGTCGAACCATAGAGACGAGAGATCGCTCAAACTAAATAGACTTGAATTAATGATGTGTGATGTCGTGTTGAGGGTTGTCAAGTTTTACCCTAAATGAAATCAATAGCCGCAAGTGCACAACTGATCGATTGTAGTACTTAGGGATCGAATCCACAGGGAAGGAGGATCTTTCCTGCAAAAGCCTTCGAAAGAAATATAAAGTAAGGAAGCCTAAAACCAAACGGTTTTGTGGGGGTTTTGGTGATGTGTTTAAAATGTAAAAACGAATCTTAAAGAGAAAATACGGGAATTAAAATGACCTAATAACTAAACTTAACGAAAACGGGTAAAAACGAGAAAAACGGCTAAACCTAATTGCTTTAATAAAAATCGATTGAAAGAGAATGAAAATAGTGAACTAAAGCTTGAAATAAAACGGTGTGAATCTATAAGAAAAGAGGCGCTGGGGTTCAGAGAAGTTTTCTCAGGGGTACGAACGAATCAAAACATTGCTAGAGAGTAAATTTGATAAGATCTTAGCTTAAACTTTTCGAACTGGCGTCACAGACTTATGAATATGCCACTGTCGTGATCATAGACAACTATCTCTCTCAACCCTGACCAGTAGGTTTCCACTCTGGCCCTGGAAAAGAAGAGATGCATTATGTTTAAGACTCGTCAGCATTCACAAATCGCCCATAGGTAGGTTTCCACTCCTATGTTTGTTTTGCTCTCCCAAACTAGATCTGACACCGGATGAACACTTTCGTGTCACCAAGCATCTGGATCAGATTGTAGTTCATGACGCTACTCTCATGCAGTAAAAACAAATTCAGAAGAAAAAGTTCTAAGATTCGGCTCAAAAGCTCATGGAATCCTCATCGAACATATAAATCCCCATCGAAAATTCTCTTAGTCCCAACAATAAAACTACTCAGACATAATGAACGAAATCAAAAACATAGTATTAAAAAGTAGAATAGAAACCGAAATTGAAAACAAAAGAACAAGGGTTCAAGAGACAAATCTCTCTCTCCCTAAAACCTAAAACTTAAAAAGTATTCTAAAACAATAGGAACATATGAGGTGATCTCAATTAGGGTTCGTAAAACATGTTTTTATAGTGCTCAAGACATCTCTAGGGTCTAGGGTTCCAGAATCAAGGCTGGGAAAATGATATGGGCTTCGGAAATAGGCCTTCGGGGTCGGAGTTAGCTGGCCGCGGTCGGGATAAGTGTGACCGCGGGAAATGGGTGGCTGGCCGCGGTCGCGGTGCTTCTGACCGCGGGTGGAAACGCTTGCCGGCTGGTTTACGGGACATCTTGCTCTTCGCATATCTTTTGATTGAACCGTTGGATTGCCAAGCTGTAAAGTGTGCTGGAAAGCTGATACTTCCATCTTTAAGATCTCCAAATTTGAGCTGGATCAGACGGTGAGAAGACCTTCAATCAGGGGTGAACTTCTGACGGTTTGACTCTGAGCTGAAATCTGGTTTTCTATCCATTTTGTCAAGCTTTTCCCTAAGTTACCTGAAAAGAGTCTTGGAACTACTAATACTAGAAAAACGTAATAAAAGTACTTGAAAGCAATTAAAAACATAGAAAAATTATTTCAAAACGATCCATAAAAGTGGTCAAAATACGGTGTTATCAATTAAGCTATCCAAACACGATGAAATTAAAAGCAGCAATGTATTAAAAACGATTGTAAACTCGATGGGAATAATAGGTCCATGGTTTTTCTCTGGATATCAGAGAATGCAGACAAATCAATTAATCAGGATTCAGGTTTAAGTGTGATTCTTGAACTCAAATCACAAAATTATAATTAACCAACTTTCGTTGCGAGAATTATCTAAGTCTAAATGCTAGAATTCCAAATTTCTTTGCAAATCCTAAAGACTAAAAAAGCATTAAGTGCAGGTTCGATTTGTTCACAAAACAATTAAACCAAATTTCATTGCGGATAGTTATTTTGCTCACCCTAGGTTCTGTCAAATTATCAATTACACTTTCGTGTCAATCAGTAACCTAAGACCTAAGTTCTAGGTGGCCAGTCCAGAATTAGCTTTAAGAACAACCTATGGTGATGAACTAATCAGATTATGAACCCTAACCAATCAATTTATCTAACATCCAATGAGATCCTTTATGAGAACCCTTAACCTAACAAACAAACTACTCAAACATAGAAATTGAAGCAATAAACATGATTGAATAGATTGCAGAAAAGAATTAAATAGATTAAGTAACAGGAGTTCAAAATATTATCTTATATGAACAGAGTCTCAGACTTATCCCTCCAAAAGCTCTCTCAAAGTATCAAATAATAAGATCTAAGGTCTCAAAGAAAATCTAAGGTGTAGCCAAACAAACAGGTGGCTGAAAACCCTATTAAAAGCTAAAAACACGTGTTAGGCTTCCTTATAAATATTTGAGACTTCTCGGCCCAAGTAATTCTTCAAAATTTGGATAGAATCAAGTTTTTTCTTTATTCACAAAATCGGTGTCGAGAGACACCATCAGTGGTCTCGAACGACACCAAAGCACATAAATCATCATTCAAAAATTTGATCCCTGCTTAACTCCAAAATGCTCCAAAATCTCCAAACGTACCTGAGACTTGAAAAGACTCCAAAAGACTTGAAAAACACTAAAAAGACTCTATAAATAAGACTTATATCATAGTCAAAACCATAAAAACCATGATATATCAGCTTAATAGATGTACAACACATCTAGATTGATTTGATATTTCTCCAGCTTCAAACAAAGAGTGAGAAGATGGATATTGCGATAGCTAGTCTGCATTTATTAGAGCACGATCATACCTTTTCCCCACTGGGTTTTCGTCTTGGTTATTTATCTTAGTATAGACAGACCCCGTAGATGTAATATCTGATACTCCAAAATAAGCCATTTTATACTGAAAATCTCTCATTCTTGTCGTGTTGAAAGAGTAGTCAAGACAGCGAGAGTGATCTTGTAAAGATAATACTTCATTAAAATCTCCCAATATTATCCATAGCATTAAGATTTGTTGCAAGGATAAATGAATGTTGCAGAGTTCCACCCATAGAGTTTTCATGCGACAAAATTTGATGTGTAAACAAAGGAGACAAGAAAATTTTCTCTCGTGCTTACTAACGTAACTGAACAGGTAATTTGCTGCGAACTTTTCAGGATCAATGTCATTTCCACTTCTGTTGACCATCCAATTCATATGCGACCCAACCTATGGCAGTCGTAGTTCATAATTGTAGACCATCCGGAGAAACATACTCCATAATAGATGTAGAATGTAACTCTTATACTCGTGTTTCAACAAAGCAACCAAAACTAGGTTTCACTGCTTGTATCCAACACCTAGCCACATCATTTTTGCAAGGCTTATTGAACCCTTGCGTGTTCCACACGAAAAATGATGTCATAACTTATGTGAGGATGTTTTTCTTAAATTTTGAGTACCTTGTTCTCGACTATTGCCAGTAGGCTTCAACGGGCCCCAAGAATGAATTCTATGATTCTTTCTTTTCTTATCCTAGCGGCTTTGCTCTGGATTTCTTTATTCAGTTTTTCGGACTCTGCATATGAGTCTCTAACTGTTGATTCCGATTCTCAACTAGTTAGGGTCGGTTCGGTATATCGAGTTCGGAAGATTGATTTTACTTAACTAAGTTTCAAGTTTACAGTTCGTTCAGTTCGGAGGTCCTCTCGACGAATTAGATACAATAATATTGAGGTCTCTACGTTTTCCGAGTCCGAAAAAGATACTTTCTACAGTAACAATCTCACTTTTTATAGTACATTAGCGAGGAGAAATTTTAGGGCTTCTCGATCAGCTCCCACCGCCTCTTGTCGCTGGGCCTGTCTTCTCGTGGGCCGTGCTGCCAGGCCAGGCCCATTTCGGCTAAGACTATCATAAACCGGGATCAATTGGGCCGGTCTCGGTCTTTAACCGGTCCGAACCGGGTAGCGGAACATACCACCAACAGTATGTCCCCTCCCCCAGTTTGGTAAATGGACCTGACTGACCTTTGCCGAATTGAAGCTTCAGTCGTTAATGACTGAGGTCGGCAAAACCGGAATTCATGACTTACTCCCGTACTATATCCTCTGATGCTTTGACGAGGGTATTAAGGTCTTTTCGCTTGCGGGAAACTGAAGAGTCGTATCGGTTTAGGCGGGAAATCGAGACGTTACGAGGCGCGTAATTCGAGAGGTCGCAATGATTCGCTCTTCTTCTATAAATAGGGCTCAGCTCTCCCCATTTCCTACTTTCACTCCTACTGCCAAGGTATTAGCTCTCCCTTCTCCCTAAATTTTCTTCTTTCTCTCTCTAGGATTTTCGGTCATCGTCCACCGTGCTCTCCCGTCGACGATTGTTTCTCCGAGCTGCTCCGACAATGTCTTCCGGTTCCTCCTCCAATTCTGAGGCCGCTATCCTTCCTGAACACCGTAGGGAGGAAACTTCGACTGATGTCTCCAGCTCGGGATCTACCAAACATTCTTCGAACGCTTCTTTGGTTCGGAAGAATTCCCGGGTCGTCGAGGTCAGCTGTAGCAGCCGTGTTCCGATTCGGGCTCCGGAGCGGATGGATCGGACTCCCCGAGAGCCCGAGGGCCAAGTTCCCATTGACTTGGTTCCGGAACGGGAGCCTGACGTGAAGGCAGATGAGGACGTTCTACTGCATGAGGTCGGGGATGGAGAAGCGCAAGACCCGAACGACGATGACATGATGCCGATCATAGATCGGCCATGCATATGTGCTCCGGTGAAGTCCACCTTATCATCCCCAGAGACGGTTCGAGCTGCTATGTTGATCGGCGGGGCCCCTCCTGGGATCATAATTCAGGTTCCCGAACCGGAAGAGCGCCCTTGGGATGCTCCTGAGGACTTCATTTGTGTCTACGAGGCTCATTTCCGCGAGGCCGGATTGACCTTTCCTCTACCGCGCTTGTTGTTCGCTTACTGCAATCGTCGCGGTTGTGCGATATCACAACTCCAGCCGGCGTCGATAGTTAACTTTGTCGGGATTCTCCAGCTCGGGCGTGACATCCGTGCTCACATCAACGTTGCCCAGTTCGAGGAGCTTTTCATCATGAAAGTCTCATCAGCCAAGAGTTGGTTTTTGTCGGTGAATTGCAACCCGAAGTTTGACTTGGTCACTGGGAACAAAGCCAGCAAGTTTACGGACTGGGACAAGAGTTACTTTTTTGTTTGCGTTGACTCGTGTTCTGCCGAGAATCCGGAGATCACGTTCCGGACTGGCTGGAGTGTCGACTTTGGTACATATCTCACGGTTCATCTTTCTGTTCCTTGATTGATTCTAACCGTTTTTTGCTTTTGTGCAGATCGCCACGTTCCTGGATTCATACAGCGTTCTCTTACAAACGACCTAGCGCAGCAACTGAGTCTTGCCGGTCAGCGTCGTTGGCCCCGAGCTTACCAGGAGAAAATTGATCGACGGATAAAGAGAGCTCAGGACAGAGGTATGAATTCCCGAGTCGTTCTCTTTAATTCAGTTATGTAGATCATGGCTGATGTATTTCGCTTTTCTTGTTGCTAAAACTAAGGCCGAACCCAGTTCATCAAGACCAGTACCAAAGAAAAAGAACCCGAGGAAAAGCAGCAAGACGAGTCGGAGGAAGATGGCATTTGACAAATCAGACATTCCAATGATGAACTTCGGGGCTGACGAGGAGGAAGACAATGCCCTGATCGACATCGTTGGCCTCGACGGAAACAAGGTCGGCGATGGTAATGAAATCGATGACGGGAACGAGGTCGACAATGTCCCAGTCGGCCCAGCTGATCCCCTGATACCGGTTATGAATCCGGAGGGCGACGTGGTGGGAACTGGCGTTCCTGAGGCGACTCCTCAGCCTCAAATGGAGGAAGGAGAGATTGGTGAGCAGGATGAGGACGAGCTCACCATTGCTGACCGTGCCCGGAGGAAGAAAGGGAAGTCCTCGAAGAAATCCTCTAGGAAGAGGGGTGGTGACCCCGAGATGGTCGTGAGCGAGGGGACGCTGGTCCTTCATGGAGGGGACATTGGTGGGTCGCCCACCGCTTTTCAGGTTCCTCCCGCGGATCCGGCAGCTGAGACCAGGAACCCGAGGTCGTCTAAGAGGCGCCAGACTTCTGACTCGTCATCCTTCTCGGTCCGCCTTAACTACAACAAAGAGCGGTCCTTCTTCGACGATGCTTCTACCTGCGCCGAGCTCTTTAGGCATATCGTCCCGGCCTCGTCTCCAATGCCTGAGACTAAAGATCTCTTCCGCCTCAAATCCTATGCTCGGGTCGCGAAATCTGCCTCTGCTGTAAGTTCTTTTTCATTTTATTTTGATACTTAGGCGTTTTAATTTTGAAGTATTTCTGACTTTTATCTCCATTTTCAGCTCGTCTGCGATACCAACGAGCTCGTCCGCGAGTATGATTCTGAGGTCGAGAGGCTGAGGAAGGTCAACGCCGAGGTTGCTGCCAAGAGGGCGTCTTTGGAAGTGTCGTACCGAGATGAGAAGGAAAGGTACGAAGCTTCTGTGCTGCCCTTCACCGAGAAGGAAAGAGAGAACATTGCCTTGAAGGAGAAGGTCGGAGCTCTGGAGAAGCGGACTGCCGAGCTGGAGGGGGATATGGACGCTCTGTCCAAGTCGTTCAAAACGAGCGAACTCGAGAGGCGGAAGTACCGAGACGCCGAGTCATAGGGCAGAAAGATGATGGTTGCGCTTAGGGGCAAGTGCGAGGGGAAGCTGGCCAAGATGAAGGACTTCATAGACAAGTCCGAGCTCCGGAATCGCCGTTCCTAAAGCTCAATCAGGCGACTGCTCTGGTCGGCTTCTGCGACTTCCTCAGGAGGGAGCACAACATGATCGTTCTGTCTAACATCGTGGAGACGTATGGGCATAGGGTCAAGAACTGCACGAAAGAGGTTGATGTTATCCCTCTCCCGCGGCTCGAGAATGAAGACTTCATTCTCCCGAGCGACGACGACCTCATCCCAAGGATTGTGCTTCCGCCGGGAACGCAGGTTCCGGAGGGCTTGGACCAGTTCGGTTCAAATTCCAAATCCATCTCCGCTGACCGGGCAGCGAGTCTGAAGAGTCCGGCGTCTGTTGCTCGCCAATGAATCCCTTAGTTTTTTATTTGTTTCATGTCATGTTATTCTAGGTTGTAAAGCTATCTCACCCGCATAGTTCGGGTTTAACTTATCGTGTTGTCGCCGGTTTTTGGCGTTGTATTGTTGCTGTCTAACTCGGCAATTTTTCGGATATTAATGAAATGAGTGCGGTTTTTTACTTAGAATTTTCTTTCCTCGTATTTTATTTGCGAACTGTTGGGAGTTCGGCTCGTTTTTATTGAATTTGGAGAGTTCGTGATGTTATTGTGTCGATGCGGATGAACTCGGGAGGCTTTTCCGAACTTGAATCGTGGTTGAGGGATTGCTGTTCGGAAGAGCGAGTGCGGATTGGGTTCCGGCTTTGAATGATGGGGCATCATGGGGATGCGGGCGAGACTGATCTCGGCTTTTGGAGTTGTATTCGTGGGGAATACTTGAATCGATCTCTTGGCCGGGGAGTCGATGTGTGGAGTTAGTGACAAAAAATGAAAAAGATGGATTGTTATTGGATTTGTAGTTGGACTCGAAATCGAGCTGCCTACGTACCCTTTTGCAAGGGATCAAGCCACTCGTAGTTCAGTTTACAGGGGTGAGTTCGGCCGGAGCCGGACTGGTTTTTTTTTTTTTTTTCGGAAGCGGTAAAATGATTGGTCCGAACTCGCAGTGGCTGTGATTTAGTAGTAATATCGTTTGAGGTTGGCTGAGTTCCATGATCGCGGGATCGGCGTTCCGTCGAGTTGCATGAGTTCGTAAACCCCGGGCTTGACGATTCTCATTATCTGATATGGGCCTTCCCAGTTCGTTCCCAGATTGCCCACATTTAACTCCTCGGTGTTGTGAAATACCTTGCGGAGAACGAGGTCGCCTTCGTCGAAGTGCTGACCTCGCACTTACTTGTTGTAGTACCGAGCAGCGAGGTTTTGATAGTTCTGGATTCGGAGGAGAGCTAAGCATCGCTGTTCTTCCAAGTTATCGAGGTTGTCGAGCATCATCTGGTCGTTGAGGTCGGGGTTCTCGGGGAGTACAGAGTATCTTAATGTCGGAATGCTCACTTCTGCCTGACAGAGTGCTTCGAGTCCGTATGCCAAAGAGAAGGGAGATTGTCCGGTCGATCGTCGTGGAGTAGTTCGATGCGACCATAAGACTCCGTCGAGCTCGTCTGCCCAGGTGCCTTTCTTAGCTTCGAGACGCTTCTTTATACCGTCCAGGATGGTCTTGCTAGTCGCCTCGGCCTGACCGTTACCTTGCGGGTAGCGGGGGGTCAAGAAACTAAGACGGATTTTGAACTTAGCGCACCAATCGTTGAACGTTCCAGCGATAAATTGTGGTCCGTTGTCCGTGACGATCTCGTGCGGGACCCCGTGCCGGCAAATGATATACTTCCAAACAAATTTTTGCACGTCTAGTGCGGTGATCTCGGAGTATGCTTCGACCTCAACCCATTTCGTGAAGTAATCTGTCATAACCAGGATGTACTGCTTTTGACTTGTTGATCGGCATAAAGGGCCTATGATGTCCATGACCCATCGCATAAAGGGGTAAGGCGTCGTGCTGGTTTGCAGCAGCTCAGTTGGCACGTTGATCATTGGGCCGTGCCGCTGGCACTTGTCGCACTTAGTGACAAACTTCTCGCAGTCCGCGTTCATCGTCGGCCAGAAATAACTGGCTTTTTTGATTTTTAGGGCGACAGACCGTCCTCCAGAGTGATTACCGCCGGATCCTTCGTGGATTTCTCTCATGATTTCGACTGTATCATTTCCGGTGACGCAGGCCAAGAGCACTCCGGAAGCGCTCCAACGGTACAACTTATCTTTATGCATTGTATAATGAGCGGCTCGGACTTTAAGACAGCGAGCAGCCCATTTATCTTCAGAGACTTTGCCGTTGAGGAGGTACTCTCGCAGTTAGGCTGTCCAATCCTCAGCGGGCTCGTTTTCTTGGCTCTCACTGGTCGATGGGCTGTGAATTCCCTCGGTTATGTATTCGAAGTCGTGGTCAGTAACAGGATCTTCGGGAGCCTGCTCAGTAGTCTTGCTCGTTTGTGCCGGATTCTTACATTGCGCGTTCGGCGAGATCGGGTTCGGATTTTCATCGTAGTTCCGTCGCCGGGTGGCGACGTTGCATTTCTGTGTGACTTTGATGCTTGGTTCTGGGATGCTTTCGACCGGGATTTTCCTCTTCATATGCGGGTCGGAACTGGAGGCTAGGGCGCCTAACGCGTCACCGAGCGAGTTCTCGCCGTGAGGGATTTTTGTGAGCTCGAACGTCTCAAACTTTGAGATGAGTGCCTTAGTTGATTTCAGGTATGCGTCCATTCGTTCGTTTTTGGTCGTGTACTCGCCACTTAACTGACTTGCGACGAGCTGCGAATCACAGAAGGCGTGAAGATGTCGCACGCCGAGCTCCTGGGATAATCGCAGTCCGGCGAGTAAAGCTTCGTATTCAGACTCGTTGTTGGATGCTGGGAACTCAAGGCGGAATGATTGTTCAAGGATTTCGCCGTTTGGGGATTTTAAGCGAATTCCGACACCCGATCCCCGGTGTGATGATGATCCGTCAACATGCAACGTCCATAGCTCGCGGGGTGGCTGTTCGACAACGAACTCTTTAGGGAGCTCGATCAGAAAATCGGCGAGTACTTGGGATTTCGCACTGGTTCGATTCTTGTATTCTATGTCGTACTCGCTTAGTTCGACGGCCCATTTCGCGAGGCGACCTGATTGGCTTGGACTGTATAAAATGGTTCGGAGCGGCTGGTCGGTCAAGACTGTGATCGAATGAGATTGGAAGTATGGCCGAAGTTTCCGAGCAGAAACCACCACTTGAAGCGCCAATTTTTCTAAGGTCGGATATCTAACCTCGGCGTCACTTAGCGATTTGCTGACATAGAATATTAGACGCTGTTCCCCCTTGTCTTCGCGGACTAGAACACTGCTAACCGCCGATGTGGAAATTGCGATGTATAAGAATAGCATCTCGCCGTTCTCGGGCTTGGCTAGGATGGGGGGAGTCGAGAGATACGTTTTCAGCTGTTTGAAGGCGTCTTCGCAATCGGCGCTCCAAGTATGATGCTTGTTACCTCGTAAGAGCTGATAGAAAGGCAGGCACTTATCAGTCGACCTGGAGATAAATCTGTTCAGAGCGGCGATCCGGCCTGTGAGTTTTTGTACTTCCCTTTTTGAAGTCGGGGAAGGTAGGTCGAATACCGCGGATATCTGCTTTGGGTTAGCCTCGATGCCGCGCTCGGTGACGATGTAGCCGAGGAACTCGCCTGCTGTTACGCCAAAGGTGCATTTGGCGGGATTGACGTTGTGGTCGTGGGTTCGAGCCCCACGATGGGCGCCAATTGTTGATTGCAATTCTCAACTAGTTAGGGTCGGTTCGGTATATCGAGTTCGGAAGATTGATTTTACTTAATTAAGTTTCAAGTTTACAGTTCGTTCAGTTCGGAGGTCCTCTCGACGAACTAGATACAATAATATTAAGGTCTCTACGTTTCCCGAGTCCGAAAAAGATACTTTCTACAGTAACAATCCCACTATTTATAGTACATAAGCGAGGAGAAAAAATAGGGCTTCTCGATCAGCTCCCACCGCCTCTTGTCGCTGGGTCTGTCTTCTCGTGGGCCATGCTGCCAGGCCATGCCCATTTCGACTAAAACTATCGTAAACCGGGATCAATTGGGCCGGTCTCGGTCTTTAACCGGTCCGAACCGGGTAGCGGAGCGTACCACCAACACTAACTTCACCTTCTTCTCTTAAATAGTTTTTTGTACCATTTCCTTCCTGCGATGTCTCCTTTGAACATTGAGCATCAACATTCTCTTCTCCTTTTTCCTGGAGAATTACTAGGATCTCAAAACCATTTGGCGATAGAACTTTCATCTCGATTTGTCTTAGTGCTCTGTTTTCTCATCGGAGAGCTTTGCTTCCCTTGACTTGACACAGTTTTCCACTCTTCCTTACTCTTGTCACTACTATGTTTGTTTTGGTCAATATCCTTAATCTCATCTCGGATTAGAGTAGTCCTTTCCAAATCGAGTAACAACTTCTGTGCAATCTGTGCAACAGGTGCCACATGAGAAGAATTCACTTGTTCTTCTTGATTTATAGCAACCTCTTGAATACTGTTTGTTCTCATTTTCGATAGTATGGTCACCTTCTTCTCCAACGAACAATTTTTCTCTCCGTATTCCCCATTTGTGACATGAGTTGCAGCGAGGATGCAGCCACAAAGAATTAAATCAACTCTTATGTCTTCACCTTGGTTACCTTTAAATCCAATCTTCTCGACTAAAGGCTTCTGCAAATTCACTTCCACAAAAATTCTAGCCACATCCATTCTGATGCGCTTCTCAGTTGGATGAAGCTTCACAAATCATCCAATTGTACAAGATAGGAAACTTAGACCTTTCTGCGAAAAGAGATATCTTAGGACTTCGCAAAGATCAACCCACACTGGCATTGCCGATAGATCAGGAGGACTACGAGCCATGTCTGGATTCCATTCACTTATCATCAGAGGTACATGTGCAATATCCAGTATCATCTTTTCAAGACACGTTCACATGCTTATGAGTGCTTGAAT